AATAAATATGAAAGAAAGAGGACTGACTGAGGTGGAGAGCAATTTCTGTGGTGAGAGGCAGAGCTTAGGAAAGTTTCATTTCCAGACTAAAAGTCATAGACCCCACCCACAGGTCACGCTAGCTGTAGAAAGAAAGAAAGAAAGAAAGAAAGAAAGAAAGAAAGAAAGAAAGAAAGAAAGAAAGAACTTCCCCCAGTTCTGACCATGGAATAAACAGCATGTTGATTTGTTTATCCAGCTAGCTGAGTCCTGCCTATTCAGGCACACAGCATTTCCCCAGGCAGAGGCCTTCTTCATCACTTGATCCTTCAAACTACAGATCCCGTGCAACTGAACCAAGCATCTTCTGCCTATAAAGCCTATGCTCTGTTAATGACCTACAGTCAAGGGATAGCACTTCTTCCCCAGCCTTCCTTGTGACTTCCAGAATTGGAACAAATGTTTCAAAGAGAGCAATTTATACAACAATGCATAATTTTGCATGGCTGATGCAGATTACCTAATTAACCTTGCATGATGCTGAGTTCTAGTTGTTATTGCTGCTGTTTTTAAGTGCAAGAGTACACAGGAAAACCCTTAAATAACATACGTAGACAAATGCTACTGATAATATTTTGATATGCTGTCAAGTCACTTCTGACCTATGGCAAGCCTAGCAGGGTATTCAAAGTACAAAAAGCGTTTAAGGGGTGGTTTTCAGGGCCACCACATGGTGATTTTCCATGGCTGTTTGGGGATGTGAACCCATATTTCCTCAGTCCTTATAAGACACCACACTACACTGGCTCTCAAACTGAAATTAGGGAAATCCTAATTCTCCTGATTACCATTCAATGGTGAAACCATGGTTCACATTTCACCAGCCCTGGGCAGCTCAGCGGGTCACAAGTCCAAAGTAACCATCTCTTATGGAAAACAAGATTACTACAGCATAAGCCAATGGGTTACTACAGCACTGAAAAGTTTATCAGCTTATTATCTGAAATGCATTAGCACTTGCCTACATTAAAACATGTAAAGCAGAAGGAAGCAACTCAAAGCCCCTTAAATGTTGGGCTACAATTCTTATAATCCTTCACTGCCCAACAACACCTGGAGGAATTAAACTGTCCATCTGATGTAAAGGAATCCTTAAATATACGGAAGGGTAATCTGCATGAAGTAGTCATTTTCATGCAACCTTTATGGAATCCTGGAATTCCTCGGAACTTTATTGAGGGGATCCTCAATATGGTGGCAGGCAGACTGCTCCCAACTGATGATCTCCCCTAATAAATTATAGTTTCAGGACAGAAATTACATATGTTCTAGATTAGATTCTCAGCTTAGATCAGGCAAAGGGTTTGCTTGGCTCTTTTGTAAATTGAGTATGCACCTTAATATGTGTTCCCGGATCCCTGAGCGGCACAACAGCTGCTTAACTAACAGAATCAGCATGGAAAGGATATCCCGAAGATAGGAAGTTTTAAAACAACAGGCATAGATCTATAGGAGTTACAGATACAGAGGCCAGACTCTTTTCAGCTGAGAGAGTAAGTGCAGTACACAATAACAGACCATGAGGATTCTGCCTATCTTCTCCCTATGAACGTGTTCAAACAGTGACACCACGACCATCGGCACCTTTCTCCATTTTCCTCCAAGCCCTCTGAAGTGAGGCACAAGCTAACCGGAAACAGGATCTTTTTTGTTGTGGCACCCCATATACAGAATCCCTTCTTAGAAAGGTTTGTCTGAGGCCAAACGTTATCTCATTTCATGCTAGCAAAGACATAGCATTCTGCCCGCAATTATTTTAATGTGATTATATTAACTAGTAGTTTTGCAGGGCAGAGACTGAAATCCTATTAAAGTCTAGTCATAAGCAAGTTGTACTGAATTCATTGGGGCTTACTGCAAGGAACCTGTGCACATGATTATAGCGTTCATATCTTTGTGTTTTACTGGTCTACTTGAAAAAGGTTTTGTTGTCATTTCTGTTCACATTGTTTTCATGACAACCATGAATCACCCTAAGACCTCTGTTAAACTTAAGTACATGTGTGCCCAGAAAGTTTTAAATTAATAAATGGCTATAGAATTTATTTCTCTAAATTTATTTCCCTAAATGTTGATTGTCTCAGAAAAAAAACTATTTAATGAGGATCAAATAACACAACGACAAATGAGAGGCAGCACAGTACACTAGACAGTGTTGGACTAGGATTCAGGAAATGTGAGTTCAAATCCCCATTTGGTCATGAAGTTCAATACTGGATGGAAATCCTGAACCACTCCTTGAACACCTTCCATGCCTCAGAAAAACCCCTATTCAGGTTATCGTAAGTTGGAAGTGACTTGATGGCATATAACAACAGCAGCATCAACAATAAGGAAGCTAGCTTTGACCAATAGGTGAAAAGGCAGCGCTAGCCTAAGACTCTTGCTGCCTGAGGCAGAAGACAAAATGGCACCCTTCTTCATTTCCCACACAGAAGCTGATTAGATTGGTAGTTGGATCTTATTTTACGACCAGAGATGGAACGGCATTCTCTCCCATACCTGAGGTAGCAGACTAGTTTAGTGCTCTCAGGAGAGGTTATGTCTTATACACACTTCCCTCCAGCAGAAGAGCACAGCCAGAGTATTCAGACAGTAACTGCTACTTGAGGCTGTTGCCTCCTTCACCTAATGATAGAGCGGGCCCTGCAAAAAAAAAACAACAACAACATTCTGGAGACGTCTTTAACTGTATGAAAATCCATATAATTCCTGCAAGTTTCATGTATGATATGCATTCTCCCTACCTTCTCTGAAGATATGCACCCTACACAATTCACAGGCTGGAGAACATCCCTGTTATCTGGAGCATATCCCGTTTCCCCCAGGGTATTCCTAGTTTTTTTTAAGATTGCAGCAGGCACATCTCTGTCATTTAATAATAACAATAACAACAATAATAATAGAATAACATCAGGAGGACATGCTCACTGCAGATATTGGTTCACCGGAATAGAACCATTTTTCCTCACTCACACACACCCCTTTTCTGTTTTCTGCTGCTGTTAACACATCTTGCCTTACAGATATTATCAGCAGACATCAATTCCTATTCTATGAGTGTCCCTAAAAGGGAAGAAGGGAGAGCTTTTTAAAAGGAAAACAGATACCACTTAGAGTAATATTATGTTATATGGCTGCATGAAAACTGTGATAACCCATCTCCTAAAGCAAGCTACACACACACACACACATACATGGTGTGAGGGAAAGAAAGTCCAGCAGAGATGCGTGGCCAAAATTTGAATCAGAGTTGTACCACGGGATTGTACAAAATAAATCAAACTAAGCCATCCTCAGACTCTCTACGGGTGACTTTTTACAGGAAGATCTAGAAATATATTTTTCCAACCTTGATCATTCTTGCTGTTTTATCAATTCTTATTATTTTAGGAGGTGTGTGTGTGTATGTGTGTCTGTGTGTGTATGTGCCTGACATCTTAATGCAGAACCAGAGAAAATGTCCACAATCGCAAGGTCTGGAGCAAGCCATTGAGAAATAAACCAGAGAGGAAAACAATCCCTAATTTCCTTAAGTGGAAAGAAAACCTCCAGAAACAAGAAAACAGCATTTTAAAATTATTTTTTGAATAGGAGCTCCAGCTTGGTTTCGAATGTTAAATCCCCCATGAAAAATGAAACAGCTTCAGTCCCATTTGCTGCAAAGATTTACATTCAAGAGGTGCAACAGTCATACATACAACTAGGTTTTCTCAAGAGCAATGTTTTCATGTCCCCCCCCCCCAATTCTTTTAAACTAACGGCTTTATATGTTGGTTTAATACATGGCTTGGACGAGAATAAAATATACATTTTTTTACAAAAATGGGAGGCCACAAGGGGGCAGCAATTCAGCTGCATCCCTGATACAGCAGACTTCTCTGGGTTTACACGGCCACCCCTTTCACTGAAATAGGGAAAGCAAGAGTCAGTTGACAATAGCATAATATTTTAGTTCGGTGGCATTCCTAAAAGCCAGAATAAAGTGCAGAGGAGGGAGTTTCGGGTGGCGGTGGTAGGGGAATGAAAGATTTCTAAACGGACTTTTTTGCTTCGATGGGGCAAAGGACGCGCTTTACCAGCGGAAGGTCTTACCTGGGAGTCGGAGGAGTGGCGGAACAGCCACACACCCCTTCCCCGCCCCTCGTGGAAAAACCAAGCTGCTGTTCCCTCCATCGAGTAACATCCCCTCCCCTTCCCGGGTTTCAATTTTTTGGGAATCCATGCTGAGCATCAAGACGGCTGCAATCCTATAGCCGCTACTTACCTGGAAGCAAATCTCATTGAACAGAACCGGGCTCACCTCGGCGGAGCCACCTCTTAAGCCTGTGCGG